TAATCAGTACAAACATTAAATGTGTGCATCACTTTCCACTATTCAGTTACTACAAAATAGTGTTAATTAAACAATAGAAAAGAAAAGAATTAGCACAATTTAGCAGTACTATTTATTAGTATTTATGTAGCACAGTTTTAGTGTTTGTGGCAAAGTACGAAATTTATCTATAAACGTGTTTAGTAATTACTCCAGAAGATGAAATTTCATTTTTTAACTTCAATTTTTTACTAAAATTTCACTTGATTTCTGATTAATCTAGCCTGCGTACATCCGGTTTAATTTCAAAACTTACGGGTAAACGCTGGATGAACTCAGGCTAAATTCATGAGCCATGGTAAAATAAAAATACATAACTCGGTCGTGATTTATTTCTCACGTTCTATGTATTTTCGTTCTTTTTTCTTTCTCTGTTTTATATATATATATATATATATATTTTTCTTTTGCTTAATATTGTTATTTGAAAATTTCATGGGTTATTTGTTATCGCTTCCTTTAGAGTTTTTTGAAGTAAAATTCCGCATCTGAATAAAAGGATATATAACTATACCATTTGTAGAATGACTGGTCTCAGTAGATGGGGTTGGCGAGCAAACATTAAAAGTGCAAAAAAAAAAGACAAAAGGCGAATAAGAAATGCGTGCGCGAAGGTGTTGACTGTGTTTACGGCGTATGCCCACAGAACTTTAAAGAATGACGTTCATTTTCTTTGTTTATTTGTTGGATTGTTAAGTTTGGTTTGGTTTGGTTTTATTTTACCTGGTCAGAGAGTTATAGCCGTTACTCTATTATCATAAAATCATCATACCTTTAGATTTTGCGGGTCGACTTGAAGGTCGCTCTGGACTTAGTTGGTCTACCTTCTGCACTACGTTATCAACTTTTTCCAACAATCTCTTTTCTGATTCCGTTACTGATTCCTTTACTTCATGAATTACTCTATCAGCCTCATCAGTGATCCATTCTTTTAAGCATTTGATGTAGTAGTCTTCATCTTCTGGTTCGAAGGATTGTGTCTTAAGACTATCAATGGCTGTCTTGTTTACACCATGTCTTAACAAAACAGTTTCAATGTCGTTCCAGTACTTGTTGAAATCAGCGTCTGATAGAGCTGGTTCAGAGATGTGGCCCAGTTCGTTACGATATAATCTCAACCTTACTACATCGTCTTCCACGTTAACACTTGTTGCTGCAGGCTCCTTGTCCCATCCATTGACAGGTGTTGGCAAATTGCAGATATTGCGCAACAGTAAACTTAAAAGAGTTATGTCAAATCCTGCAGATGTTGCGATTCCTACACTTGGATACAGCCTGCTCCACTGCTCTGGTCGTAGATGTCTTTTAGTCTTCAAATTCTTTAAGATGTTGTGAATCCTGCTGTCCATCAAATGTTTCCTTAGATCGTGAGGTGGATGTTTGGCATCAAAAATGACTCTAAGGGCATGAGTTCCTCCATCGATGAGTAATTTACACAATCGAGCAAAGTTAGTGTTTTCTTTTGTAACTGTTGACCATCCAGCTGTAGCCATATTGATTATATTCCTGCAGAGCAAAAACAGATAAGGATTAATGTTAAAATGTTATCGTTCCCCGTAAGATTCATTGTTTTTAAACAATAGTAAAGAAATAAAAAATAAAAGAAAATGCTAAGATTAATACTAAGATTTTTTTAATACTAAGATTTGCTTGAAAAAAAAACTTACGTAGAAGAAGGATCAATATTTATCACCAAAAAACATTGAAGAACACATGTAAGTGGTGTAAAATAGAGACGAGACAATTTTGAGTAAAACCAGCATCATCTAGGTAAAACCTTTTATTACGCAAACAATCTAAGTCATCGTGTCATTTGAATTAKAGCTATGTTAACATTAATTGAACGTTGATAATACCTTACCGAATAAAGTTTCCTGAATGGATTCCTTTCGGAAATNCCACTGCTCTGATCGTAGAAGTTTTCTAGCCTTCAAATTCTTTAAGATATTATGAATCCTGCTGTCCATCAAATGTTTCTTTAGATCGTGAGGTGGATGTTTGACATCAAAAATGACTCTAAGGGCATGAGTTCCTCCATCGATGAGTAATTTACACAATCGAGCAAAGTTGGTGTTTTCGCTTGTAATTGTTGACCATCCAGTAGCCATATTGGTTATCTTTCTGCAGAAAAAACAGATAAGAATTAATATTTATCACCAAAAAACAATGAAAACAAATGTAAGTGGTGTAAAATAAAGGCAAGACAATATCATTTTGAAACCAGCATCACCGAGCTAAAACCTTATATTACGCAAAAAGTCATCGTGTTTTGAATTATGTTTAATTAAACGTTGATAATACCTTACTGAATGAAGTTTCCAGAATGGATTCCTTTCGGAAAAAAGGTGTGTTGATCAAAAGAAAGCTGAAGTAATCATTTAGGTGTGTTTCACCTTCTCTGCTCTTCTGTTTGACTGACTTCTGTACGGGGTTCGACGTGGTATAGATGCTGCGACAGACACTCCTACAAACCAAACCCACCAATAGAAACAGTTATTTGTTTGTCGCTAGGTTATCGTTAAAATAGAAACTGTGACCTTCAACTTCGATGTTCAATAACATCGCAAAACCAAACCAAATTTGGAGTTGTTTGTGCACAGCGTAATGGACCATAACTTTCTACGAAGTACCGATTATTGCTTATATTGGCTTACAAGTTCAAAAAAAAACTAACTTAACAGAAAAGAAACATTTTTTGAATTATTCAAGTGATGTAGGCAATCTTCTTGCGATATTCAGAAGAAACTGAGGTTGTTTACAGTTGTACCATTAGTATGCACTAGTGACTGCACAGCGGTCTAGCCATCATAAAAAAATTTTAATCTGTCCTTATTGCAAAATATCAAATACATACGAGAGCGATCTGGCAATGTATTCCTTAATCCTCCTTAAATCAATTCCCGAACAATTCCCTGTAGTCAAAAATGTTCTTCACTGCGAACTACGAGAGAGACTCTGCCAGCAGGGAACTGCGATATCGGCATTGCAAAGAGACTAAGAATTGAAGACAATAGATTCAAAGGGCGTGACGTTATTTTTATTAAAATAATAGACGAAAACTTTCGAATCTTTTCCTATATTAACAACATCATAAGGATTAATATCAACAAAAATAGGATTAACATTTTTCACCAAAATTTACTGAAAACATATATAACATGTTTTCAATGAAGACCTTAACCAGGACAATGCAATCGTGAGTAAAACTGACAGGTGTCATTGACCCAACACCTTGTATTACGCAAACTACACTGAAGTTAAGTAACAATGCACGCAAGAAGCAGGCAACTTTCTATTCTGCGGCAATTGCAACTTCCCCACATACGAACGTCTTGGTGTTCACACTGATTATATATCAACCTATGTATAACACATTTTTAAAATAAACTGGATAAACTCTATTCTGAAACAAACTTTCTTTTGTATNGGGAACTGCGATATCGGCATTGCAAAGAGACTAAGAATTGAAGACAATAGATTCAAAGGGCGTGACGTTGTATAATAATATGCAAAAACTTTCAGATCTTTTTCTATCATAACAATACTGTGATGATTGATATTAACAAAAATAAGGATTAATATTTTTCAACAAAATTTACTGAAAATATATGTAACATCGTGTCAATGAAGACCAGGGCATGAATACAATCGTGAGTAAAACTGTACAGACATCACTGAACCAACACCATATATTTACAGTACCTACACTGAAGTTAATACAAACCACATTAAAAGCACAATCTCATTAAATACTGATGAATTCTTACAATTTTTTTGCAGTCAAAAACGTTCGCCACAGCGATGTCGGTGTTACAAAAGGAAGAGACTTAGAAGAGAATAGAAAAACTTTCAAATCTTTTGCGATATTACTAATATTACATAAATTTATTGTCATATCCTGACCGTGATGTGAAATTTGTTGCATACCTTTATATAATAACAACAGAGATAGCAATTTGTGACGACAGGTACTTAAAACAAGTCCAAAGGAATTATAAAAATTCAAAACAAAATTCGGCCCCTGAGGCTGTGAACTGCTGTCATTATCAAATACCAAAATCCACCAAATGAAAAGCTAAAGACTACATTTTTTATTTCTATATCTTGATCATAAACAGAATTCAAGTTCGATTAGATATGCACATTTACATGATAATCAGCTATACGAATCAAAATTCAGCTGATATAAGGACGTGTTCGCTAGCTCCCCCCCCTCCCCCCAGGCAACTCAACTCTGGATCAGAGTTAGTACAGGGGACTGTCCCCTCKACAAACTCTGGGAAGATGTAGGTTTTTAGATATACACAAAATGTTTCGTACTAGTTATTTATTATAGTAATAGTCTTCGCTGTCCATCCGTGGAAACACACCAGACAGCAAAAAAGTAATAAATATTTATATAGATGTTTTCAAAGAGAAAGTGACTTCGGAAGCCGTTTGTTGGTGGGCTTAATGACTAACACTCAACACTAGACTTGTCGTCTGGTTTTCAGTCGAATTTTGCCTTAAAATTACGACAAGATATTAATTCATAGCTGCTTTTATATGTTCTCTTCATCTCTTTTTTTCTTTTGTAAAATGTTAAACAAGCTTACTCATTTGTTAGTATAATTAGAAAATTAGGACGTTGGAAATTATTTTTGTAGCATATTCAGATATGTACGGCTTTGAAATCCCAGACTCGTAACCAGTCGTTTCTTTTGCTCGTTTTTACGGGTCGCGTTGCATCAAGGGAAGTCCGGAGTATCTCCCTTGATCCTTTGCGCTCACCAGAGAAAAAAGAAGAACGATTAGGTGCGAGTCTGTTGAAATTCGATGCAAATATTTTATTGCAATAAAAACAAACTTGTCTTACGTGCACACGAAAAAAGTATCCTTTACATTCGATCGTTTGCGTCTCCTCACAGAGAAGCAATGCTCTCGCATCGAAGTAAGACGACCTGTCAGTCAAGCTTGCCATGACAACACCTCTTTTAGGATACTGAGGCCGACTATCATCGACAGGTTTCACTCCAAGCTAGTCGTCTTGTTTCNGACCAAAAGGTCAATTACGTGTACTTCTTAAAGGTCCACATTTCGGTTAAAAAAAGGTAAAATTTTACTATGATTGTCGATTTGGTCCACTTAGGGCAAATAAAAACCCCTAGCTACGGGCCTGCTACATCTTGTTGTCGTTCTGCAATGTCGTTCTTTCTTTTACATATGAAATATATTTACTTTTATCAGTCTGCAGTCGATCTGATCTAAAACTACACACGAGTGACCACGAGGACACACGAGTGACCACGAGGACACACGGATGACCACGAGGACACACGAGTGACCATGAGGACACACGAGTGACCACGAGGACACACGAGTGTGAAAATAACAGTTTTTATTTATTTTTGAATATTAAGAAGAAACAACAACAACAACAAACAAACAAACAAAAAACAGTTAAAAAAAGAAAAATGAAATGAGTGAAATAACTATTCAACAAACAAATTTTTATCCCAACACTTCTTTTAATCATGCATTTTATACTTATTGGGTGTAATTGGGGAAGGAAGTTTATTTATTTATGACTGCACTTAAAATGCCGTGCAACATCTCTAGTAAAACATGAACAAATCATAGCTTAAAAGAAACTAATTCTACGCAAATTTATAATACAAAAACAACTAGAACTCCTGTACCAAATGTGCAGAGTTTGACTATGTCCGCAACGCTCGGACTGTCTGTGCTGTACAATGGCAAAGATTCTTTACCGCGATACAAAGCAGGAGAATCACAAGTAGATTTTGCTACGTCCACATGGTCAATACTATCATTGGAGGCGATGTTATATTAAGTGACCTTCTATAACGTCATCAGTTGGTCTCTCTGGGTCGATATCATTATCAGATTCTCCAGAATCGTCGCTCAAAATTATGATGGTATTCTTACTGTTGTTCTCTTCTTTTTTTTGGAGTGAAATCTTTCCTCTTCATACTGTTAACTGTAGACTGTATGCAGGCACCATCACAGGTCAAAGAGATTCTTCAGAAGAGATGGCTTACTTATGAACTCGAGTGTCACAAGATTGACAGCAATCTCATGTTTGACCTGCGTCAGCTCAGCATGATATCATTTACAATTTAGCGTCAATACAATATAAGGTCAATTTCTGTTTTTTTTWAACCAAAAACGTATCAAAATAGTATTTATTTTCTTAATATTCAAATATAAAAAAAAATTAACTTTTTTGTTATTTTTACACTCGTGTGTCCTCGTGGTCACTCGTGTGTCCTCGTGGTCATCCGTGTGTCCTCGTGGTCACTCGTGTGTCCTCGTGGTCACTCGTGTGTACTTTTAGATCATATCCTTTCACTGATAAAATCAAACGTTGGTATGTAGATTATGTGATGCTAAGTGAACGTTGATTGTGATTGCCAGGTTACTTCAAGAATTTTGCACGTGATTGGCTGATTGTTATGGCTTATTCAACGTGGCTTGCTTTGACTGATAAAATCAACTACTCTCAGACAANGTCGTTCAAAGGCCTCCAATTCGGACTTGACGGGATTTCAAAGTCCTTGCAATTAGTTCCAGTCCTCGGCTAGCGCCTCGGACTGGAACTAATTGCGCGGACTTTGAAACCCCGTCAAGTCCTCATTGTCGGCCTTTAAACATTACAAGAAACTTTCAAATCTTTTCCTGTATTACTAATGTTCGCCACTGCGATGTCGGTGTAACAAAAGGAAGAGACATATAGAATGGTAGACAATAGATTCACGGGGCGTCACGTTATAGAATAACACAAGAAACTTTCAAATCTTTTCCTGTATTACTAATATTATAAATTTATTGTTATGTTCTAACCGAAATGTGGAATTTGTTGCATACCTTTACATGCTAACAACAGAGAGA